ACCTCCTCCCCCAACCTCTCGTCCCGTACACTAGGCCTAGAGCCCCGGCCGCCAAACTTCAACGACCTGCAAAAAGACGACACCCCCCTCCCTTCCCCCCACCCCGCCCCAACCACCACTCGATCATTCATCCGGCAGGACGACACCACTGAATACTCCACCGGTGCACACCTACGTCTCGACACCCAGGCACAAATTTCCTCGCGGGCCTCTTTAGGACAGGCGATGACTCAGGCCGACTCGTATCGCGCACACATGTACACGGACATAAAGTTTCTACACGAAGTTGTATTTAAAAATGAATATACTGAGATGGTGTACTTAACAGACCTAGCGTTTACTTTCAAGCGTCCTTTAGTATGCAGAGTACAGAAGTTTCCACTGAACTTGTTTGATCATATTGTATAGAAAGCCTTCATCCGATAGAATAATGAAAGTGGAGCAAAACTTCTGGGTATTTTTAGGTCTTCTTCTACATCTGATGGATGAAAAGCAAACTCACATCTGAAACTGTCCTCAGATGAAAACAAACAACATCCCATAAGAAATGGGTTTTTGTAAAATAGCGTAGCTTCTAATTCTGTCCGACCCAAATGCCTCTCTATGAGAGGGTGTTCAGGTTAATGTGTACATATGAAGAAGGAGTGGGAGGTGAGGGGATGGTAGTTCGAGAAACTGGAAGGAAAAGGCATACAGGGTAAAGAGAAGGTAACAGACGAAACAAGCAATAGAAAGAGATGATGAGAAACAGACAACAAAAAAAAGGGAAAGAGGCAGGTAATCAAATGTTAGTATGTTACCTAAAATACACAGTATGCCATTGGTAGCTATTCTTATATATTTTCAACCCAGTCAGTTTAAAGAAAAAATGTCCTTGTCCACACTCCAGCATCCCTGTCATAACAATTTCATCATATCAGTAGTGCTCAAGGGGAAAGGGGAGATTTGTAGCCGCTCTACAAAGAGCATGCTTCTCCATTTCAGAAAAAACACCATATCCTATTATTTTAACAAAATGTACAGACGAAAAGGCTTCAAGATGTTTCAAATTTATCTGATATTTTAAAGTTCTTGTCCAGAGCACCACAGGTGAGCATTGACAAGGTCACTTAAGCTCATTACAGAAGGATAGAATTCAGCTGGCAGAAATGCTCTTTTGCAATCTTATTCTATTTGTTAAAACTGTAATGAATCTGTAAACTTTTATTCCCATTACACTCATGTTACAATAAATATTAAAACAGTATCTATGAACTCTTTTATTTTAGAGAAAGTTTTACGGCACTCACAACACATACATCCCTATGAAGCATTTTGAATATATAACTACTTTTGTGAAAAGTACACTGAGGGAACACAATAAAAACCCAAGCAATCATGCAAAACAGAGAAAAATTAAGGGGAACAGTGTCCAGCATGAAGAGCTAAAAGTAGGTGTTTACTTAGTAGTCTTTTACATGTTCCAAAAATTCCAAAATCATTATCAGCTACCTACTCTACTATTCTCAGACTCCGACACTTTTATTTTTAAAGCCAATCATTTTTAACAAATTATTCTGTTTTTGACCTTGTAATCATCAAGGCAAAAGTACAATGGGGTTTTATGAAACACAGAGGCAAACTAGCCTTGGTATGACCAAATTCAATTCCTGCCTTTCGATAATATCATTTTGCATCTGTTTGACCTTCTGATCTTCTACTGACTTTTTTAATGACCTGAATCATAATGGATGGCATGTAAAAGTTCAATGAAATAGAATTCCCAATATATAATATATCAGGACAGGATTGATTTAAAGAGGCTTGCCTTTAAACTCTAATTGTTTTGATTTTTACAAAACTTAACATGAAAGTACGATTATTAAAACATTTTCACCGACAAGTATTCAGATCATGTATACTTATCATGTAATTATTCCTCAACAGAACAGACTAATAAATAAGAGCACACACACGGAAAGAAATTTTTCATTTAAAAAGCTGGACGACAACTGTAACAGAAGTAACCTACATTTCATAGAAGCTTATTATAATAATTACAGAGTAGCAACACAATTGAGAAACTAGCATAAACTATGAGGACAGGTTTGGTAAAACTGAGTTGGGAAACTGAAAGTGTGTTGATCTGTATCTCGGCCAAAAGGCCTTCCCTGTGAATCAATATATATACACAAACTGGATTCCCCACTGAGTAAGCACCACACTCATTCACCTGCTGCCTACAGAATCAATAATAGTGAATGAGTCCAGTTTTCAACCTACACAACCTACGCCTACTGCTAATCTTTAAGGAAGGAATTTAAATCATAAAGTTTCTTGTGTATTTTAAAAAGAACAGAGTATTTCACCCTTTTAACAGTTTATAAGATCCTGACAAATTCTACAAGAAATGATTGCCTTTTCATTCATCATGTGGTTGGGCAGATAATCATAATGTCAGTATTTCTGCCCTACTTAACTAGCATGCTCAGGAGGTATTCTATACAAGACTAGAAAAAATTACAGCCTTATCTACAGAGGTAGCTGCCTGCGGAAATATTTGCCCCTTTGTCATCCTCCAAATCTAATCCAAACCCAGCTGTAAAATGTCAATGAGGGATGGATCTAGGCTACTCAAAATAACGAGAAACAAAATGAACAAGATCTAGATCTAGATCTAGATCTAGAATCTAAATCTAAGACTAGATCTAGATTTAGATTAGATTCTCTAGATCTAGATCTAGATATATAGATCTAGATCTAGATACTTCTTGTGGTGTAAAAAAATCAGAGCAATAAAATTTGAGGATTTTTGCTACAAAAACATGAACGGCTCCACTTTCAGTGTTCTAGATTTCTTGCTCTTCACATAAAGCTTTTACAAAATTTTCCACTCTGCGAAGTATCACCTAGATCTACACCTGTCTTACCTGACAGTTCCAGTTGATCTAATCTAGATTTAATAGGAGACCCTATATCTGGATCTAAAACTAGATCTAATCTAGATATAGATCGGTATTTTTTTACTTTCCCTCCCGTCTCACACTCAACTACCAGTTGTCTATTTTCTACTAAATATTGATGCGCAGAACACGAATATCAACTTCATTTCCGTCGCAAATTAATAGTTTTTGAAATATTTGATTGTTTTTAACCGAGATAGAC